AACAAATGGATATCATAATAAAAATTATACCTCCCAAAAATATTAATTTATTGTTACGTTAAAATATTGACGAAAAAAATATAAAAATCTTTTTTCTTATTTAATATGAAATAATACATAATATGAATAAGCCATTTACTAACTTCACTGTGAATATACTATGTAGTTCATGTTAAAACAAATTATGTCGCATCACAAACGGTAACTCTTTTAGTACCAATATAGAAAATACGTTATTTAATAACATAATGCACTTTGCAATGCCTAAATAAATTATAAAAACTCGTAGCTAATTTACCAATAATTATGCGCGTTTGACGTACATATTTAAGCTGTTGTAGTTATTCCTTGTTGGCTATTTTTAACATTACATAGCGGCCCTAACTGCCCCAACTAATAATACTTGGATTATTTTAATAGTACAAATAGTGCAAATTTAAAAGTGAAATAGACAACTAAAAAAAAAAATAATAAGATTACTTATTGATGTACAAATTGTTTGTTTCCTATTACACGTCGTGTACCCGCATTGTAAGTTGCATTAGTTGAAAGCAAAGAGAATAAAGTAAAACACATTTTAAGCGGTTTATTTATTAACAATGATATTATTATTATCCTATGCACCCTTGACCTCACAGCCGTTTTAACGTTTTGACATTGTGAGTTCGAGTAGACTGGTGAGGCACCAATTGAATAAAACAGCGGTATAAATGGTTGGAACTTTATTTTCAGTTATAAAAAATAAACATGTACCAATTAAAAACAAATGAAACACGACGTACTAATACGTTTATGACACAACAGCTCATAACATTTAAACGTAAAGTGGTAGTAACACAATAATTATTGTTATTGTTTAATTTTGTCATCTGTTTTTGATATAATGTTTTTTTTCAATGAATAATTCTTGTAAGTTATTTTGAGTTAGTTGTATTGTTCAGAGTTTACTTAGAATAAAAATTACTTTTTGTCACAACATATTATCATTTGATCATTTGATTTAGTCAGATATTCGACTCATTACCTCATTAAATGGAAAACAAAATATATGAGCGATGTGTTCGTTATTGAGTAGTTTCCAGTGCAACCAATACACAACCCGGCCAACACTTAACTTAAAAATATTCTGGTGGACAATTTAAAATGCAACTCCCTTTTTTTCCTATCGAACTTAATTTAAGTATATATACTTAAAGTTTGACATTTTATAATGGGGCTTTAAACGACAGTAATCGGTTTTTTTATCCAGTTAATTTAAAACTAAGTGTCATCGGTGAGCCAGCATAATCAGTTAACTAGTTTTAGGAAAAAATAAATTCTAACAGTTTTAGATTTAAAAAACCCTACTTACTAATTTGGGGCATATTAGAGACGGAGCATAGTAGGATGGGAGAGGGCACAGGTCAGGAATTATAACTACTGAAAGAGATAAACTTTCTTTGAAAAATAGGGTTGATGTAAAACTATAAGTATAAATATGAACTATTTTATGGGCAATAAATGTGTTGATTATGTGTAATAATGATATATTGTATAAAATTTGCAAGGGATACTACTTTTAAAAATGTGTAATTTTTTGGGGTTTTCGGTTTTTCGGTGAAATCGGGAGAACTACTAAAAATAATGTTTTTATTTTAATTGTCTGATTTGTTACAATAAATATATGTATGTATACATATTATAACAATGGAATATAATCTTTCGAAACCAATTATAATTTGAATACAATTCAAATAAATTCTTTTTTTTTCAGTACCTAATTGAGTTCAATAACTATTATTTGTGTTGAGACATTATTACTGTGATGTCTAACATTATATTATACACATTCTTATCTAAAAAAACTCTTGTTAAAATACTTTAAGAAAAGAAATTCCCATAAAACCACAATTGAGTAGCTTCTTTCAGAAATCTTGAAATGTTTTTTTTTTTTGTTAAGTAAGAAAAACACAATTACCTAAGAGTACCCAGTATCTATAAGAATTAACTGTACGACTTTTGGAATAAATGGTTATGCTTTTTTGTACAATGTTCATTTTATTACTTATTTTTAAATGTTATGAAATAAAACCTGGATGAATACATAATATACATAATACATTTTATATTGATATTATATTTAAATCTCACCAACTACATAAAGTAAAAACACTTTATTTAAACACGTGTTTAAATATTACAAAGTACGTAACAAAAGTTTACTTCTCGCTAGAATAAAATATTTTACTTCCACGTCATATCTGCTTAATAAGTGCTTATTTGTTCAAAATAAAATGAATTAGATAACCAGACTGCGATTTAAACTTGTCAAAAGCATTAATTTTAGCATGTTCCACAAAGTGAAACATGCGAAGTACAACATAGTTTCAATATTATATCGAATTCAAAGAAAATAGAAATTTCCAAGTAAAATTTTCAAAAGATAACATGTAAAATAATAAAAGTAAGTTTTTTCTTTTGGAGCAGTAGACAACGTCTTTCATCATAATGATTTAATACTTATGAACATTATAATAAATAGTATGGAAATAAACCGTGGAACTAATAATTTTTTTAAGAGCATAGTAAAATATGTAACAATATTAACAGCTAAGCATTTATTATCATGCATACATCTTTACGCGGTAGTACACAAACTTCTATCATTAAATAAATTTATTAATTCTTTAACTTATTAATTATTATGAAAATGACGTACTTAATCCAAGAAGGCCCAACGTGTGACTTAATCCCTACAAAATATTGCATACTTTTTTTAAGAGTTTCTTATTTTTTGTTATTGTTTATATTACATTAAGACTATTTTTTGATAAATACTTATTGTTATTAATGATTAATTTGATGAATAAACTGAGTACTGTTGCTACATAATATATTTTAAAAACTACGAATGACAATATTTAGATCTTTACTTTAATATTATTTTATTAACAAAAAATATTTTAATTTATATTTATGGCCATCCAATTATATTGTTGGTTGTGTTATCATTGCATTTTGACTTTTTTTTATCATAAAACGATAACTATAAAATGATCCAGAAAAATTACAGTGTTGACATGACATGTGACATGTATGTTAATACTTAATATGTAATGTACAAAATGTGTATCACCATTAAGTTTAATAGAAGTTTCTTTTCTTATTTATCAATATTTTATTAATAACATTTTGTACTAGATCGGCATAGTGGCAGACATTTTTTCATAAAGGTCACGCAGTGAATAAGTGACCTATTCAGTTTTTATTTAAAAAAATTAACAATAAAAAACGATAGTAAAAAGAATTTACGCATCGGCACTCATGGCCAACTGGACAACAATTTTAATAAACACTTTATAGAGTAATAAAAGATTGTTTAGTACCAACTTTTATAGCTTATGCACAAAATATGTCAAATTTTCTCTCGAAATTAATTTATGCGGATACTTGACTAAAACGTATTTGGTGCGCTTTTGAAATAACTTTATCATTGTTTTTTTTAACCACAACAAAATAATTGTTTTTGGTTAGGCACCGCCTAAGTCTTTGGTATAATAGAGTAAAGTCGGTCGATGAAAAGATTTACTGACTTAATTTCTTTTAATAAATATTTTAAACGATGAGTTTAAGAAAAACGTCTAAGCATAATAATATTTAACATTATACTAAAATATAAGCCATTGAGTTAAACCAAGATAACATGTGACGATAATAACTTGGTAAACTGTTATTCGTATTCACTATTTTTGTATTAGTTCATCAATTCTTCAACTAATTGTTTAGGAAACATACTAATTTATTAAGACGAATGTACTACAAATTTATCAAAATTAACCGTATACAAATTTTACGGAAAATATGTTTTCAATACATTATTATAATGATTAATGAACATTTAGCACGATATTCTCATAGGAATATCAAACGAGGGGCATTTGATTGTTATAATACATTTATAAAACGTTATTTTATAATAATTGAAAATAATTTTGAGTGGTGACTTTGACCCTCAATTAAAAATTTAATTAGCTTAAGTTAACAAAATAATAAAAATAGCGCATGATGATATTCTAAAGCAAACACTTAGTGTTTCATTTATATGACACGTTGTAACTTAATATTAGCATAGAATAATCATAATATAAACTATCAATGTATTTTTTAGTTTACACAATGAAAAAATAATTAAATTAACTCGATTAATTACGGTATAGTTACTAGTTTTAAATGTCATTTTAGTACGCAACTATTTCACCCCAAACGTGTTATACGATTTATATAACCACGGTTCCTACAGGTTACAAATAGTATATTTTTGCAAGTTGGTACAAAAAAAATAAATTTAAAGGTTACGTCTTTAAATGTAATAGACCGAGTCCACGGGGACTTTGCTTGATTTACTTATTGATAGTAGCTTAATATAATAATGATACCAATGTAATATTTTAAAGAATCTACAACTAAAATGTATGTGACCGAGCATTAGAATAGGTGTCGTTTTGTGGTATTACTAAAACAATAACTATGAAATTAACCGACTTTATCAAATTTCGATTAAAACCGTTTGGAAAAAGTCGGCTCTTCAATGCGAGTCAAAACTAAAAAACTTTTTTTCTCTGGCATAAGCACGCGTTCGCTTTGTTTCAAAACGTTTACCACAAAATGTCAATTTACTCGATTTATTTTCATTAACAAAGAAATATCGTACAAGTCCGTCGGTTTGGATACACCGCGTTACACTATTAGTAAACGTTCCTTTTTTCCTTCAATATATTGTTCATTGATTGATATTATAATGGCGTGAAGCTAGAAAGACGGTTAACCACTAGGGTAGCTTCTATATAGACATGTGTGTGATAATAGTTAAACATTTTTCTTATTTTAATCATAAAAATTATCTATTTTGTTTATTATGAAAACAACAATGTCGTCGTTGATTATAATTGTAGCAATAATATTATAACAATACCTAACATATTATATAATATTACAATAATTATGGCACGAGCAGCACTCACCTGATAATCGACGACTGGGAACGGGTTGAAACGAACGACCGAAGGCCACAACAAAGGGACGCAAAAGCCGGAACGCGGGGTTTCGTCAAAAAGTCTGATGATAGAAAACAGAGGAGGGGGTAAAAATTAGAAAATTAATCACGGCGATAAGTTACAAAATGCGGGTGAGGGTACAAAGTACTAACACGATTTCAACAACAACAATCGCGACGGCAGTGGCGTTAACGGCGATTCGCACGACAACGGCAGTCGATGACGACGCCAAACAAATACGCGGCACGCGGCGGTCGACGGTAAAGCGAACTGAACTCGTCTCCGGCAGCCCGCGGGCACATGATGCCGAATTTATGAGCACCGACGACGCCACCGCGGCCACCGTTAACGCGCAACTCCCGCGTCCTTGTCTAATCACCACACCATACTCGTAAGTACACTATATTATGATATAATATAATAGGGGCACACACGATGAACCATCGCCGCTGGTCAAGTCTGCGTTTCCGCGACGGTCGTCTGCAGCAATCACCCACATGTCGGTGAGTGCTGCATCACCCTCCTCGGTGTAGTGTACGTAGGTATATAAGTGTAGAATAATATGTTTGTCGACCGTTGTTTTAGTTTTCCGGAAGTGGACCCAGAGGAAGTGCCGTGCGCTAGAAAGCTAAAACAACAACACTCGTCTCTGTGCAGATCAAAAACACAAGAATTATATTGTAGTCGCCCAGCTGCAGAGAGTGCTGCGTCCGTCTCTTCGTCCAAAATCGATAGCTCATCAAAATTGTTCTATTGTTGTAGTATTGGTCTTCTCTTTTTTTCTAGTTTATATTATATATATATATATATATATACATTATACCTATATATGTATAATATATAGATATCGATAAACAAACGTGGTTTTTTGTACTTCATTTCTGCAATATGATACGGTTTTCATCAGTTGCCGAGGGAGGGACGAATAAAAAACCAAAATCAAAGTCGTCAAAAAACACTCCATGACCTCACGGCATAATATCTCTAGACTTCAAAAGTAAAAACATTACGTTGAACGTAAATCCAATATACCAATTTTAATTTTAATCGGGTCCCTATTTATTCCGGATCCAGTTCACCTGTTCTGGTCTGGAGTTGTGCCGGCGTTACATTTTCAATCCAATCCTGACTTAAATGAAGTTGTTAGGATCCGATTCTAGTCCAATCAGGACTGAAATTTCCACTCGGGTAGACTTAATTAACGGATTAACCTATAACCTTTAAAGCACGTATATTCTTAAAAAAGTCGTTTCAAAATATAAAGCGCCAAAATAAGATATAAATCGAATTCCAGGGGAATTTTGAAAATAGCCCGTACAGTAAGTCATGGAATTAATATAAAGCGGCTTTTTAGTAGAAATAAAACGAAAATATACAAATTTCTGGCATATACACAAAAAAAAATACTCTAGAAACGCTGTCCAACAATTAACCAAACACTACCTATTACACCAAAATCGAATAGACAACAAACCGTCTATCTAGAAACACTTCACGTGGGACGAGTCACAAACACTATACTATATTATAATATTGATATTAATAAGTATGAACATGTCCTTACCGCAGTAGTTTCTTTTCTAAATACCCAACCATTAAGAAAATAAAATATGTTGTACCATAAAAAAAAAAGTTTCACGAGTAGTAAAACGGGGCCAACATTTGATAAAAAAAAATACTTAGAACGGAACTTCAGAAAGTTTCATGGCTAGTTTATTTACTACTTATGCGCGAAAACTGTTCTTTTTATTCACTAGCCCTCTATCTATGGGATTAATTTTCTTCGATAAAGCGAAATCTGCTTAATGTCAGTTCCGGATTTATCCTAAATAATCTGGACAATAGATAAAATTATCTGATGGCTCGAACATAGCACAATGTGTGTTACCCGTAGACACACCTCTATTACAAATCACACTAAAATAATACTAACATTCCCACTGCTCCCGGCCGTGATCGTGTAGATTTTCGGCACATCCGGGTCTGTGTATTCACTGGTCAGGGATCCGTCCAAATCGTTTGGCAGACCGACACTATCGGCCATTACTATTTTGGCTACCACACATCAGTTGTGATTTAACATCGAAACCACGTGTACCGGGAGATTCTTTTAACGCCCTACACCAGTTTTTTCTTAAAATAATTAAATTTTTTTACTTTTTTCTTTTTGAAAACATGTTTATGCTATATTACAATATTCAAATTTTTAACTTTTTTTAATATTTTCTAGAGCTTTATCAACTTTTGAAACTTAAACGGTAACATATTTATTTTATTAACTTTTTAAATTAAGAACGATTTTCTGAAAATTTTGACTGGTCGATAACCAGTTTTGAATATATAGTTTTAAAGTTATTAAAATTTTAAATTTAGGACAGGAGGAAGGGTGAAGAGTCGAGTTATTTTTATCTGCGCACGTTTCTCAACCGCACTCCACCTCCCGTCCTAAATTTTAAACCTAAATAACTGGAACAAAAATTTTTCAAAACTGGTTATCGACCAGTCAATTTTTTTAGTAAATTATTCTTATTATAAAAATTCAATTAAATATGTACCTATGTTACCGTTTAGGTTTCATTTTTCAAAGTAATGGATACGATGCAGCCATGTTATTTAAAATTTCATGGAAAGTAAACATGCTACGTTACTTTTCCATGACACATTTAAAATTTAAATTAGCAAAGTAATTTTTCCGATCATGATCGATGTTAACCCGTCCGGAAACCCGAAGCGAGAATTGTCTTGAACAATATTTTGTTGACTATGTTTCGACACGGACTAGTGTGAATGGTCACATTTAAAATTATAACCATAATACGTTTTTCTTACCGCTGGTACAGACACGGCCCGGATAAGGCCCGGAGCAGTTGGAATGGATCTTAAGTTTTCCTATTTCGATTAATGGCAATATCATTTTTATATGATAAAGGTGTTAAGAAATGTGAACAGAACGCTTAAAAGAGTCTGCACGGATAAAAGGCATATATCCTTAGGGTTAAACATTTTAAGCATAACAAAAAAACACATACGTTTTCTATTAATCTATATAATAAAAATAAATATATATGTGTACATGCCTCAACAACAAGTATTATTATTACTATTGTTGTTAGAAACATCGTACATTGTATCGGGAAAATACAAAAATTATTTACGTTTTAACCTAAATAATTATAAAATAGGTTCACCTGACCAACGACACATAACTTTTTCAAATTACATTTTATCCTTTAACAACAAATACAAAATTCCGATTTCATTTAAACTTTTTACATTTTTGGCGTCGACACTTACCATTGTTCTGCATAATAACGAGCTCAAAACTTTTAGTATTATTTTTTTTTTTTGGTTTTGTATTTATATGGTGAATATATTCTGTGGCAATATGGTTACGTTAGGATTTTACGGGTCTGTATTTTAGTAGGTGTCATATGGTCGGCCTTCTTAAAATAGATGTTTTCTCATAAACACTCGTCCGACTAGCAGCCCTAATTAACAGGTAACACTCACTGTTGTCTTTGGCATATTTTAGTAACACTTAGTGAAAAGTGTCCGTGTGACTTATGGTAAGTCTCCTACTACTCTCATAAAAATACTACGCAGTCATTTATTATCATGCTAAAAATATAGACCATGTGTTATTTGTGTTGATGGATATAACCGCAAATTTTATTTTTCTAGACCTGTGATAATTAGGATAAACTAAAAAAGTTGCACATGTTACGTGGTTAATTCAGCTCAAAGGAAATAAATCATTTTTATGTTTGTTAAAAAGTAAAAATGAGGTATGAAGTACAAATATAAAAGAAATGTGAATAATAACATACAAAGAATTACTTACAAATATCTTAGAATTAATTCTAAGATGAGAAGGGATTTCAACTATATATTTTCATTTAAAAGTACTTAATATAAATTATGTTATTAAGTTTAATTTATTAAAGTGTATAAATGTATGTATTAGTTATTGGTCTAAACGTTTTAAATTCACATCAAATACTTCACTTCAGTATAGGCACCTTCAAATTTGGACAAAACTTCAAAATATCTATCACCATACTATTAAAAGCTCGCAATACCTTAATTAGTTTAACAAAAAGTATAAAATAAGATTGTCGTATGCATTTTTAATTTTCACATGATTTATTATGAACTAAAAACGTAATATGAAATCATACCTCAAAATTTGTTGAAATTTACACCGATTAATTATTTTTATAATAATGGCTTTAAAATATGTATGCTATTCTAGGATGTACATGATTTAAGTATCCGAGAAATTTTTTTTCAAACTTATGTATAATAAAAATGTAAAATATTAGTAATATTTTTTTAATTTCCGGAAAAATATAATCATCCATAAAAGACTCATAGAAATTACTCGATGGATGAATTGTAGAGTATTTTTAAGCTTGCCTTCTGCTAAGTTGTAAAATAGTTTAATATGTTAAGCTAAGAACCTAGGACAACCGTTTTTGCCACCTCTTTGCCACTGCAGTTTAACCTTTCGCCGTCATTATTTTAAAATGGCGCTCCCTCAATATTTGACCATTCAAATGTTATGTTATAGCAGAAATTTCATTGAAATACACAATATAGGTAAAAATGACCAAGTATAAATAGGTTTTTATATTACATGATCTACAATATTATAAAATGACTAAGTATTTACTAAGTATATATTTAACTTTATAAATTAAGAATAATTTGTTGGACATTTTGGCTGGTCGATAACTAGTTTAAAATTTAAGGTGGGGAGTGGAAATGTACAGTAAAATAATGCACGCAGAAAAAAAATAAAATTACATTTCACCATTCCTCCCGCCTGGTTTTCTACGATCAACATTTTCAGCAAATTATTATTTTTCTATCTTGAACACTTGTCTCATTTATCCTACATCCATGTCTGTTATTCATAGGTAACAACAGACACACGTTTAACGACTACTAACCAAACACAAGACATAGTAATAAGTGGGATGTTCAATTCGACAGTTATTTTAAAGTAGAAATTACCATAAAAAAAGTAAATTGCACAAACAGCACAGTGCCCTCGAATTTTAAAATATTTATTTATTTTTTACTTATATAGTGGCAAACAAATAATCAGTGTACTAGAACAGTCACTATGTACATTGTACATACCTCATTAAGTTCATCATACAAATATGCTCTTTATTTTGAGTACTTGCTCTCTTCCACCCAACCATGTACTGATTTGTAGACTGGCAAAAGGAAAAGAAACCATTTATTTAATAGGTTTCGTCAAATTTATAAAA